ATCTATTCCTTATTATGTCCTTACTGTGTCTGTTTTGTCCTTTAGAAATACCCTGTGCTGCCTTACCTGGTCCTGGTGCTGAAGCAGTTCCTACTGCAGAGGGACCTAAATGAGGTTTTTACCGGTGGAATTGGCTCCTACAGTCTGTTCCTCATGGCTGTCAGCTTCCTGCAGGTTAGATACACTTGGTCTTTAACAAGAGCTCTTAATATTTTCACAACTTAAGCCTACCTGTTAGAGCTTGGTTTAAGTACTTATTTTACTTCAGTGTTATTTTTTTCTGCTTCTTAACAGATATGAGGCCCTAAGAGAAAACTCTTTTTACTATTCAGTTATTGTTAGTTTGTCATGTGCCAATAGTTTATAAGATACTTGCTATTACTGTGATTCCTGAAATATCCATATTGCTGGAAACAACATGTTAAGATTATAATGTTAGTATGATAGTCTCATAGTAATCGTTGAAAGTCTGGAACAAGTCCATAAACACTGAAATTCCCACTATCTTAACCACCATGATCATTCTGACATCCACTTGCACCTTGTTCTTGTCCAGCTTCATTACAGGGACGATGTGTGCAGTCCCAACATCAACATTGGTGTTCTGCTCATTGAATTCTTTGAGCTCTACGGTCGCCACTTCAACTACCTGAAAACAGGCATCAGGATAAAAGATGGAGGTTGCTATGTTGCCAAAGATGAGGTTCAGAAGAATATGATGGATGGCTACAGGCCCTCCATGCTCTACATTGAGGACCCACTGCAGCCAGGTAGGAACAGTGAACACAGATGATAAAGGTTAGGAAGCGGGTTTGTCGCCTAAACGTCGAGAAATTGAATTTCCTTTCCAGATATCAGCATGGCATGAATGGGCTCATTGTCAGGTTCTCACATTTATACATTTTGACCATCTGTCTTGTGTCCAACAGACAATGACGTTGGCCGGAGTTCCTATGGTGCCATGCAGGTGAAGCAGGCATTTGACTACGCCTATGTGGTGCTCAGCCATGCTGTGTCACCCATCGCCAAGTACTACCCCAATAACGAGACTGAGAGGTAAGGAGCTCATTAAAGAAGCTGTGAATCACATATCAGAGAGGAGAGCCAGATGATGAGCCATTTCTAATGAATATCATCTGATTTGGATTAGTGCTTGATCCTTCACAGCATTCTTCAGAGCCAGTCAGTTTAATGTTACAGCATTTAGTCTTAAATTGTCACTGGTGATTTAATTTCAGTAAAATTAGCACGCTTCAGTTGTTGTTCTTGTCATGGTTGGCTTTATCTAATAATGAAAATATCAGGTCATTACCAGTAACATTTGCTTTCAGTCTGCTGTATAAACATTGTTATAACGTGTACGTCCTCATGTATCTCATCACAGCATACTTGGCAGAATAATCCGAGTGACACAGGAAGTGGATGAATACAGGGAATGGATCCGAAAGAACTGGGGGAGCCCGTCCCAGAATGATCTGCCACTCAACAGTATGTTCAAACGCTGACTTTAAAAATTATTATTAATGTAATTATTCTTGTTGTTCAGTTCAATTCAACTTTATTGTCTACATCACATCTCTGTAGGAAATGACGTCACACTCTTTGAGTCCCAACAACTCGATGAGTGCAACAACAACGTCCCAGATGACGACGATGTTGTTGTGGTTCTACCATCGGCCCCCAACAGCAAAAACTCCTCCAACTCCTCCTCTCCATCCCCTTCACTGCGCTCCTCTCCTTCGTCCTCTTTGCTGTCGCCTTCTTCCACGTCCTCTAACTCCAGCTCCAGTGATGCGGTCAGTCACACACACACACACACACACACACACACACACACACACACACACACACACACACACACACACACACACACACAAAGCCTTCAAATATTGCTATTATCTGTACTTATCTGTAGCAGCTGAAGCTTCATAAGGAAAATTTGTTTTGAAAGACTATTTCGTCATCTATTTTGCTGCTTTTCCCCAGGACTCTGATGGCACGCCGTGCAAGACAGCCAAGCAGCAGTCTGGCCGGGGCTCCAGCACCCACAGAGAAAAGTCAGCTGCTGTTAGTAATCACCGAACACAGAGCCACACTACTGGCACTCCATCTGGAAGCAACAAGGGAGGAAAGGTGCCCTCAGCCTTACTTTATATGTATACATGTAACGCACACCACGAGATTTAAAATAAAACAGATACAAAAACTGTTCTGTTAAATGTATGTCACTGAACACTCACTGATATTTCTTATAGCTGTAACACATTTAGTCATATTTTCTCATGAAGCATCCTTGATGACGAGATTTGAATTAAATGTAAATTTGTCAGATTTCTCCATCATGACCTTCCTATACTGTATTGAATACCCAAGGGAAATCCTGGAGAAACACTGATCTTGTCTTTGTGCTCTGACCCACCCCAGGGCAGGATGTCTCGTTCACACCATAAGAGTGGCCACCATGGGCAGCAGAGCTCGTCATCTAGTACCAAAAGTCATCCGAGCAACAAGCCACACCACCAGGGCAACAGCAAGAAGAGGAAAAATGTACGAGACTCTACACAAGAAGACCTCTGCAGATAGGGGTGACCTCGCCTGCCCTCCCCCCGTCCCCTGTCCTGTCTGCAACTGACTGACTGTCATGTCCCACTTCTGCTGCCAGACTCCAGCCTCAGGAGGCTGTTAGTAGTATTTAAACATCTACAGTTATCTGTCTCTCTGTCAAGCTTTTTGGGATGACAAGCAACAATTTCTAGCAGAAAAAAAAGAACAAAAAAAAAGAATCATTATAGGAAACGGGGTTTAATTTCTTGGACCTGAACTGAAATCAAAGGATAAAATGCTCATTTGCTTCTCAACAGCTTCTTTTATGGAGCAGTTTTCCTTCCCACAGCCAGCACCTACACAACATGCCTCTTGCGCCTCCTGCTGTACAGGAGTAGACAGGTTGGGTGTCGGGAATCTACTCTGGAGCAATACCTGGAGCTACTGGCTGGAAAATAGGATCAAAAATTTTATCAAAAAAAAGAAGAAAAAAGCAGATGGCTTAAAATGTATAAAAAATATAAATGTTATGTTGAACAGACAAATATATACACAGATTTTTTTAAGATGGTAACTTACAAATGCAATCAGTAAGAGTGGGACATAACTTATGCATGAGATTTCTTTTTGTTGGTTGATTTTTCTGTTGGTTTTTGTTAAGTCTAAACAGGTTATACAAAGATTTGTACAAAAACGCATCAGAAAAAAAAAGTTAAAAATACAAGTAAGAAGAGATTGTTTCATATGAGATTTTTACAAAATATACCGATTGAAGACATGTAAACATGCACATCTTGTGCCCGCAGCTTTTCGGCCAAAGCCAAGAGCTGGTTTGGGTCCCATTGCCAACATAAATCATCAGCATCTACTTTTACTCCTGGTTGCTCTCTGTGATTGTGCTACAGTGTTAAAACTTAGCCTTGAGTGAGCCAATGCTCACGTACAGCCCTATAGATGACCGGGTGAGAGATCATCATCTCATCTCAATAGCACAGCCACACCAGTGTAGAGGCTTTAAGACTATTAAGACTACAGGTTTAAATTAATAAGGGGTGATAATGGTTTTATGAAAAATCCTACACTTGAAAAAAAAAAATGTGTTAACAATACAACTGTGGGTGATAATCTGTTCCTTCGGTAATTTACCAACTACAAAATCATTTGTATTTGTTAAATGTATTTATTTTTTTATTAATTATATGAGCATAGTATGGATAAATGTATTATTAACATTAGAGCCCATATGTTTGAGTCCTATATTTGAAATAGGATAAATTGCGAGGGGGGGTGGGGTGGGAATATTCAGGTACAGTAAAATACCACCTTTATTATTTAATTGGGTTTTTTTTCATTGACAGTTGAGTGACCAAGTTACTTGGAAAAGTTTGAGAGAGACCATTTTACAAGTCATACAGTGGTAATTGTATTTTAATATGTGGCTGGTCTACTTACTTTAAAAGGGAGCGGATAGTTTTTTTTTTTTTTTTTTCATAAACTATCATAGAAACACACGTCTTCAATGTGTCAATCCCCCTCTGTCATTGCAGTACAGCAACTAACCTGTAGATGGAGTCATTGCTCTGAGTCTTAATCCACACAGAGTTTGGGCTTGTATACTGCATTTGGACGGTTTATCGCTGCGTTATTTTTGTGATTGACCGATAATGTCCTGATATCTCAACTGAATGGGCAGCTGCATATAGAAAACTCGTTAAGCTGAGTGCTTGCTGGAGGGAGTAACACACCAAAGCACAGTGCAATTCTCCATTGTCTCTTCCAAATGTGACAAGAATCACCCACAGTGAAATCAAGTAGCCAGCAATAACTACCACCTTACATTATACATCACTACAATGTCTGCTGCAGCAACATGATGCCTTGCTCATTCCCGAGCAAGTTTAATCTTCTGTGTTAAGACAGTGAAGCACATTTGAGTCCATGCACTAACTCACAGCCTATTATATTTAGTGTTGAAATGTTTAAAACTACGGTTCCATGCCCCCCACCACCACCACCACCATCCCCCAGCGCTACAGTTGCGGTTTAAATGCAGTATATAAACGCTGGTCTTGTGGTAGACGGACAAGGAGAAAGGCAAATGAAGTTAGCCGTGCCATCTGAATGTCCACTGACCATCTTTTTTCACTGCAGGAAGCCTTCAAACCCAACTGTACTCATCTGAAATTTGTTTCTCTGCAGCTATTACAATTCATGCAATAAAAACAGTACAATTAACCCGCGTGTTGAGAGAAGTTTTTGCTTTGCCTCCGATTTGTTTTCTGACTTTTTTTTCTCTCTGTATTAGTGTTAATGCTTCACTATAAAGTCCACATACTGAGAAATAATTTGAGATGAAAAGTAGCGTAACAGTAATATTAAGAACCGTGTGTGTCAGAGATGATGGAGGTGGGGCGTCCTCGCTCAGAGCAGCGCGCACACGGACAGTTGTAGAGGAGCACGGGGACCACAGCACGCTCCCCAAGCTTGCGCCTACCGGTTATTTATGTACATTTATCTCCGGGACTTCGAAACCTGTCAGGTAAGACACAAAAACTTCGTTTAATAGTAAAAAACTGCGACTAATGAAACCTTACAACCTGAAACCCTCCTAGCAGTCGCCACACCGTATACGGGAAGGTTAATTGTCTCTTCCCTTAAATGAAAAAGGTAATAGACGTTGTTTTTGAGCCGAAAACTTCACCTCTGCGAAGACCTTTCGATTTGATCCGAAGTTCATTCAAAGGAGAGCATTTTTCAAGAGTTGGGAGTAAAAATGTTCGACTTAGTGGGTTTTTGTGCCGCGTTTTCACCTGGCTGCTCCTGCCATCCAGAGTCTTGATGCTGAGTTTAGTGCATTTCGGGTTACTTAAGATAGCTAACGATGCTTTTTACTTTAGCTCACTTGAAGTGAGATGCAGTTTAGTTGACGCTAGAGCCTCGAGGCTGAGTACATGTGTTGTCTCACCGCTGTTTGTCAGCAGCTCATGTCTGTATTAAAAGAAAAAATAACCCTGAATGAGCAGAATGAAACCACACTGATATAGCCTCTGTGTTCATGACAACTTTCCTACATATTTCTTCAGTGTGTGCGTTTTCTGAGATATTTTTTAAATTCTAATAATTTCTTTAGGATACACAGACAACAGTAAAACCTATAGAAGTCTACTAGTCATCTTGTGTTGTCTTTTGTCAGTGATTTGGTGTTCTTCCAAATAAGACTGACCCCAAAATATTTTCAGGGCAGGAAATGTTTGTTTTTTTAGTTCTTTAGTTTTTTAGTTCCAAGTATGCAAAAGTGCTGCCTTGCTGTCTAAGATGATGACTTGGAAGAGTTTATCTCTTCATATCTCCCAAGAACATTATGCTCATGGGCCTAACAGGATTAGCACCTATTGCCACATAAAACAACAGTAGTTGAACAATAAAAATGCCCTAGGATTATAAAAGATGCAGCTGGTTTATTGTAGCTGGTACAATACTGCTTTGCCCTTTAGTCCTTGCATCATGGATGGTTTTAATTAAACAAATTAAGAGTTTTCAAACAATGTCAGCATTTTTTGACCTAAATCAGTCATACACAGTAGGACCTAGACATAGTCATTCAAAGTGGTGCAGTCATCTCCTGTGTTTAATTACTGAGTTTTAATACCACAGAGCTGTTGCTTTTACCGTGGAGCTGTGTCATGAAATGGCATGAGAAAGCAAAGTTAGTAGCTTTTAATGAAACTTAAGTAAAAGATCATCAACCTTGAATGGTCAGTTCACCCATTTAGAAAAATCTCACTTATTCTGTCAGTTAGTTTTGGTTTTGTGTGTCTGGATATGAGATTTCTACAAAAATCCCCGATAAAATGAGGTTGAACTGAATTTTGTTAATGGTCAGAGTAGTAGTTTTATGGTTTACAAATTTTGTTCTTGTGGAGTTGACAACTGTTCTAAATAGACAACAGTGGTGGTCAGAGTCAACCTCCAGTGTTTATATCAACCTAGCAGTGTGTAATGTGTTGCATGCATGTAATGCTGCAGGATAGCTGATGTAATCGCTGTTAATGCAGAGATCCAACAAACAGATATCAGTTTAGGATCAGACCATTTGTAATGGTTGGGTTTTCCTGAATTGTGTAGCTGTAAAAATAAAACATCAAACATCATCAGGCACTTTGATTCCTCACTAGAAAATATGAGTGTAGTTCTGCTGATTAAAGCTGTTTGCTAAGGCTTAATAGCTGTTGCTGTTTGCACTGCAAACTGAATTCCTTGTTTTATGTTTGCAGAGAATGGGAGTATGAAAAATGTGTAAACCCTGGGATCGGATGGTAAATGCGTACCTGGCAGTATAATTCAGTGCACATAAATACATTTGGCCTCATGTTTCTGTCCATGGAGCATACATAGTGTCACCATCTGTATACGGATGACGGACATTACAAGTATGTGGGGTGTGTATCATTTGGATGATTACATCACTAATCCTTGTCAGCTTTGCTCTAGTAAATGGAGGTAGATTATGGGGTTACCAGTAGCTGGTTTTCTGAGATGAGGACAGAGTGTCATCACTAAAAAAAATCAAGTGAGAGAGCAAACACTGAGCATTGGTTGTTGAGGCATGGAACTGATTTATTTGACTATAATAGGTATACAAGACTCCAAAGTGGCACTGTAGTAGGATGGGGTTAAATTATTGGTCATGAATCAGTGGATCAATGCACAGCTGCCATGCATAGGGCCTCTCATAGAAAAGCTGTAATCTAAATTGTGACACATACATTGGCATTTGCCATTTGTGTTCAATTATCCATTGTGATGCTGTGATGTATCTCATTCTGACATGATGGGAAGCTTGTTGTGATTGTGCATGTTACTAGATTGATTTTACAGTTTGATGGATCTGGACAGGGACCATCTGTTGAGGGTTGTGCTGCACAGACATACACATGCTCACACAAACAAAAAACTGTACTGTTCAATGTGATGACAGAGTCTACTATCCTCATTGTTATTTTGTGACAAGTCTCTTTAATAACCAGTGGTAAAGTTGTTTTGTGTTTCTTTTTCCTCTGTCATGCAGCCTCAGCTGATCATGTAGGCAGCAGAAAGCAGTGTTTTCCAAAGTGAGGTTTATGTACTGTCAAGGATCTGTCAGACTTGTTCAAAACAGAGCATTTATTTGAGAGAATCTTTAATTTTTAGATTATATATTAACTGCCTACACTGTTATGTAGCACGCATAGTAAAAACAGTGATGCATTTGGAGTCCCTGGGACAAAATCAGATGATTTGGGCTTTTGTGGACTAATGTGGATCGATTTAGACATCATCATTATCAATCTGTATCTTGTAGGTGTGGGTTTACTAAATCTGACCAGGCTTTGTCCACGGCTCCAAATGAACTGGTGCTTTTCTCTTTTGATAAACAAAGTGTTGGTTTAGTTTGACTCCTCATGAGTTTTTACAATTATACAAATCATATGCATTAGTGGCAAAATTAGTTGTTTTATACATATTCACTGATGCTAAAGAGAATGCTAAAGAGAGACCTGTGTAGCTTACCTAAATACACACACATAAACAAATCTGCTAATACACATGCATTCAATGCATGCACAGTCTGTGCTTGACAATGACTGACAGTGACCTTGACAGGAAATATGGAGAACCTCCACAGGAAATGTGAATGTGACTTCTTGCAGGTTTTCTTTAGAGCTAGGGTTGACACCATCTGTCAGGCAGAGAGACGCACGCGCTCTCTTCTCTTCACTACTTCTTTCACAATCTTTCTTAAACTGCAGATAGCCATCTTCTTTTTCGTTATAAAGGTAAGGAACATATTTCTTTTCCTATAAGAGTTATTCAGGAAGAACTATACAATCATAGGAAAGTGTCAGACAGTATCTTATTTGTGCAGTGATACTGTAGTAAACTCCACCCAGAATAATTTTGAAGCGCATGTCGGATCTGTCTTTGTTTTTAATAAAGTGTGTGTGTCAGGAAAAACCTACTGTACCTCTTTCAACTGTTTGAGACTTTCTTCCTATCTCTGCCTCAGGAGAGAAATGACATCCAGGTCTGTCTTCTCTAAACACACACACACACACACACACACACACACACACACACACACACACACACACACACACACACACACAGTCTGATTGCTAGACATTTTCTGTTGTCATTAGATGCCGTGATGTTTTCCAAACGTATCTAGTCACTCATAGCACTGATGAGTTCACTCTACTTCTCCCCACTCTCCCGTCATTGCTGTCTTTGTCTCTCATCTTTCATCCTCACTTTGTCTCATCCACTTCCTGAGAGAAACCCCCTCAGGCTTGAAATGAGAAGGGTTTCTCTTGGTGGACAGTGTACTAATCCCTGAACACACACTGGGGACTAATCGGACTCATTAACTCTGACTCTGGTGCTCCTAGCCAGAGATCATTAGTAATCCCTCCTCACCACTGCGTTTTCCACCCATATTATAAATGCTGTTTCTCTTTTCCTGTGCCGCTTTTCATGTAAATTAAAAGAGACATCAAACATGTTACCTGTACAAAGTGGTTTTGTGATGCTGTAGTTGTTGTTTAGTTAAGAAGAAACAATGGTCCACTTTCAGCCTCAAATTTCACCTCAGAAAGGATGGAAAAACATTGGTCATCAGATCATCAGTCAGTGATTCAGGCCACTTACTGTCAGGCTCACTGAAACCACCAAACTCTCTGGATTGTTCTTTACACTAATTAAGCTTGTTTGATCTATTTAAAGTGAGCCTAACCTCATCTCGTACCTACTGGTCTAAGTGAGTGAGGTTAGAGTGTTGGGTGGAGATGACCTTTACTTTGTTGATGCCTCTCTCATTTATCACTCCCAGGATTTCCCCCATATTGTGCTGTGAGATTGTAGGAAACTTCCCTCTGTAGAAAAATAATGAACACGAGCAGGACGCCATAGGAACGAGGTTGTTTAGAGTCAAACACTCAAAGATCTCCGTCACTGACATCATCAAATCTTCAGGAGATGCAGTCTCACTGTTTAACTGTCCAGTCAAATCTCTGAGCAGGCGGAGGGTTTTTTTTCATGTTGAAAGCTTATTTTTCTCACTTTAACCTCTTGACAGTTTGAAAGACAAGACTCTTGCCAGTTTGCAACCACCTAAATTCATGCTGCTAAAATCAGCAACTTAAACTCGATAAAATCATAACTGATTGTGGTAATGCTTGGCACACATTTAAATGTCAGTCAGTCTCTTTCTAAAACCCTGCAAACAGATAACACATGCTGACTGTCTGATGTTCTGCCCTGCCAGAGTTATACCTAATCTACATATCAATTAAAAAAAGAAAAAACTATTGATTGACACATAAATCATCACTGGTGCAGTAAAGTGGATTTTTTACAGTCAGTAAGTTGAATCAAGATCACTTGTTTGTAATCAAGGTGTGACAAGTGGTTTTAGGTTAAATACACCTGTATCTGGAAAGGACAACATCTGGTGAGTCAATTTCCCTCTGAAAACTACATCATGAAGACAAAGGCACGTTG